TATGTTGTTTAGTTTCCAAATATTTAGAGATTTTCCTATTATCTGTTACTGATTTCTAATGTGATTCCATTGTAAACAGAAATCATATTCTATACAATTTTAACTCTTTTAAATTTGTTAAGGTTTATTTTATGGCCCAGGATATGATCTACCTTGGTATATGTTCCATGAGCACTTGAAAAGAATGTGCATTCTATTGTTGTTCAGTAGAATCTAATTCTATAAACGTCAGTTAGATCTTCCTGGTTAATGGTATTATTGAGTCCTTTTATATCTTGCTGATTTTCTGTCTGTTGTTCTATCCTTTGTTGAGAGAGGGATGTTGAAGTCTCCAACTATAACTGTGGATTTGTCTATTTCTCCTTTCTGTTCTTTAATTCTTTTTGTTGTTGCTGTTGTGGTTTGGTGCATACACATTTAGAATTTCTAGGTCTTCTTGGTGGATTGATATTTTAATCATTATATAATGTTTTTTCTGTCTCTGGTAATTGTCTTTGCTCTGAAATCCACTTTATTTGATATTAATATGACCACTCCTGATCTTTGATTAATATTTCCTTGATATATCTTTTTCCATCCTGTTAGTTTCTTTTTTTTTTTTTTTTTAAGATTTATTTATTTATTTGAGAGAGAGAGAGAGAGTGCATGTGTGCAAGTGAGGGGAGGGGCAGAGGGAGAAGGCAAGAGAGAATCTCAAGCAGACTCTCCGCTGAGCACAGAGCCTAACACAGGGCCCAATCTCATGACCCTGAGATCATGACCTGAGCCAAAATCAAGAGTCAGATGCTTAACCGACTGAGCCACCTAGGTGGCCATCCATCCTGTTACTTTCAACTTGCCTCTATTGTTCAACTCACAGCATACAGCTGGATCATGTTTTTTAATCCAATCTGCAATCTTTGTCTTTTAATTGATATATTTAGAGCACTCATATTTAATGTGATTACTGATGTTTTAGGGCTTAACTCTATCATTTTATTTTTTTTGTTTTGTTTGTTGCTTCTGTTTTTTATTTGTTTTCTTTTTCCTATTTTTCTATGGTTTACTTGAACATTTTTAAGATTTCCATTTCTATTTATCTATAGTGATTTCAAGTCCATCTGTAATAGCTTTTTTGGGAGTTGCTCTAAGAATTACATTACATATGTGGGACGCCTGGGTGTCTCAGTCGTTGGGCTCTGCCTTTGGCTCAGGTCATGATCCCAGGGTCCTGGGATCAAGCCCCGCATAGGGCTCCCTGCTCTGTGAGAGGCCTGCTTCTCCCTCTCCCACTCCCCCTGCTTGTGTTCCCGCTCTCGCTGTCTCTCTCTCTCTGTCAAATAAATAAATAAAATCTTAAAAAAAAAAAAAGAATTACATTACATAGGCATAACTTATCAAAGTCTACGGATGTGATCACTTTATCAATTCAAGTGAAGTATAGAAAACTTACCTACCTTCATGTCCCTTTATCCTTCTCTGTTTGCAATATAATTGTCTTAACTATTTCTTCTACACACATTTATAATTATATCAGAGAGTGTTATAGTTTTTGCTTCTAACATCAAACATAATTTAGAAAACTCAAGAGGAGAAGGGAAGCTTATTGTATTTACCCACACTGTTGCTCACTGTATTCTATCTTTGCTCCATATTTTATTGTTTCCCTCTTGTTTAAAGGACTTCCCTTAGCTTTTTGCTATGGTCTGATTGTTTGTGCCCCCACCAAATTCATATACTGAAATCCTAATGCCCCTGTGATGGTATTAAGAGATGGAATCTTTGGAGATGATTAGGTCATGACAGTGGAGTCCTCATGAAAGAGATTAATGCCCTTATGAAAGAGGTCCAAGAGAGCTATCTTGTCCCTTCCACCATGTGAGAATACAGCAAGAAATCTGCAATCTGCAACCCAGAAGGGGGCTTTCACCAGAACCCCAACCATGCTGTCACCTAGATCTCAGACTTCCAGCCTCCAGAACTGTGAGAAATAAATTTCTGTTGTTTAGAAGCCACTGGTCTTTGGTATTTTGTTATAGCTGCCCGAACCATTGTTTTAGGATAGGTCTCTAGGAAACAAATTCTCCTAGTTTCCCTTCATCTGAAGATGTCTTAAATTCTCCTTCATTTCTAAAGGATATTTTCACTGGGTATCAGATTATGGGTTGACAGTTTTTTTCTTTCAGTAACTCTGTGCCACTTTCTCCTGGTTTTCATGGTTTCTGGTGATAAATTCACTGTCATTCTCATTTTTGTTTTCCCTCCCTATAGGTAAGTTGTCATTTTTCTCTGGCTGCTTTCAAGGTTTTTCATCTTTAATTTTTAGAAGTTTATAATATATTTTGTTAAGTTCTATAGATTTATCTTGTATAAGACACTCTTAGTTTCTTGACTCTATAAATTTATCTTTCTTGCCTAATTCAGGGAGTTTTTAAGCATTATTATTATTTTTTTTAAGATTTTATTTATTTATTTGAGAGAGAGTGAGAGAGAGTATGAGAGAGGAGAGGGTCAGAAGGAGAAGCAGACTCCCCGCCAAGCAGGTAGCCTGATGCAGGGCTCAATCCTGGGACTCCAGGATCATGACCTGAGCCGAAGGCAGATGCTTAACAACTGCTTCACTGACTGAGCCACCCAGGCGCCCCAACCATTATTTCTTTGAGTACTTTTCCAGCCCCACTTCCTTCTCCTCTCCTGGGACTTAAGTGACACAAATACTCTATCTTTTGTTCTAGTCTCATTAATCCCTAAGGCTTTCTTCATCTTTTTTTCAGTTTATTTTTTCCTCAGTTTTTCTTATTGGGTGATTTCTATTATTCTGTCACCCAGTTCACAGATTTTTTTTCCCATTCTCCCCTCTATTCCGCTGTCTCTATCCATTGAGCAGCCATTTTTATCGTGGCTGCTTTGAAATCTTGGTTGTGTAATTTTAATATCTCAGTCATCTCATGTTGACATCTGTCTTTTTTTTCACTGGGTTTGAGATCTTCCTGTTTCCTGGTATGAAAAGATTTTTTATTTGAGCTTGGAAATGTTCCGATTATGTTCCAAGACTCTTGCTCTTATTTAAGCCTTCTTTTTCATCTATATTGGTCTGACACTGCTTCAGCCGGAGGAGAATAGTGCTACCTCATCACTGTCAGGTAGAAGTAGAAATGCAGGCAATTTTTATGATTAGTGGAGCTTCTCTCCACATAACATCAAAATATGTAGACTAATTGATTTTTTTCCAAAACAAAATAAGGAGAAAATTCAAGTAATTCTGTTATTTCATCCCTAACACTTCCAAAAGCTTAATTATTAGGGTTAATTTGTCACATCATTAAAGAATGTTGCCCTAGTCAATCAGAATAATTAATTATTTATTTTACTAATAACCCAATTTTTCTTCCTGTGATTTACTAGCAGTCTACAATGGCAAGAGAATTCTGTGGGTTACACAGAAATATATTCCTGATTAATGGAGAAAATAGAAGAGTTTCATCTCTTTTCAACTTTAAAAAAGTCCTTCAGGGGCGCCTGGGTGGCTCAGTTGTTAAGCGTCTGCCTTCGGCTCAGGTTATGATCCCAGGGTCCTGGGATCGAGCCACACATCGGGCTCCCTGCTCAGCGG